CCACCTCCACGTGGAACACCTGCAGAGGACGCTCCACCAGCACCTCCAGGTGCACGCTGCACTCCGCGCTGCGCCCGCACAGCTCCTCACGGTCCATCCGAGAATTCACGAACAAGATGCCATTCTGCAGATTCACCTCCAGCAGGTCCGCGCCGCCCCTGGACGCCACCCGGAACAGGCGCGGCACCAGCTCGGCCAGCTGCAGCCCCAGGTCCTGCGCGATGCGGCCCACGAACGTGCCGTGTTTGGCCTCCTCGGGGACCGAGTAGCGCAGCTGGCCGCTCCCTGCCCGCCAGGCTGCAAAGAGCAGCAGAAGCCAGAGCAGCAGGCGCGGAACTTCAGAACCTGCTCTGTGAAAATACAGCATCGCCACCTTGTCCCAATTCTTAAAGCGCTACTGCATCGACACACTGTATCATTTGAATTCTTAATTCTCAGTGTTTAAGTACATCTTTTATTCGCTCACCTTTCGGAGCTTCTGAAGCCGAGTCCAAAATGGCAGCGCTTTTATTCCAAAGGACAGCAAACTATTCTTGACGTTGAGAGGCGTGCTGGGAAAGAAATTTTTGGTGTCTAGCGACACCATGTGGCCGAATGGGTGTTTTACCTTGTTTCCCTTTAATTCTATTTAGCAACTATTTTCCAACTTCAGAAACACGATTCTTATGATCCCTTATACCCTCATCTCTATTTAAAACACATAACTTAAATCTCTTACATCAGTGTAAGTGCGTCATTTAAACCCAAAGCCTCTGAACTCACAAAATTCCAATCCTTACTAGGATGAGTTTTATTATTCTCTTTTATATGAGGAATGTCTTTCCATCCCTACATGGGCAAAAAAAAATTATAGTGCTTGCTAAGTGGTTTTTTTTGCTCATCTAATTTCACCTTGATGAAAATCGATTTGTCTATGACATCTACATTTTGTTTACATAAACTACAAAAACGAGATATTAATTTCCTAGAAACCAAAAGCTTGGTAAAAGATTTTTGGAAAATATCTTGACACTGTTTCCAAATTGGAAACATTTAGGAAGCATTTCTTCAAATTTTTGTTGCTGTGTATCTTTGTTCTAATACTGTAAGTGAAATCCTACTGCTGTCTATAGAATGTGGTATATCACAAAATGTCTAAGTGCTGATATAAATAATCATGTGAAAAAGAATATCATTTTATTAACCAGGCTATTTAATCATTTCCAGTGCCTTTCAATCTTGCAATGCATGGTATTATTTGTATTTAACTCGTAAATACAGAAATCTTCAGAAATCTTTGGCTTTAAAAAAAAGCCAAAAGAAAATGTCAATAACTTTTCCATTGAAGAAGTATTTCACATTCTTCTAATAAAAAACTCTCTATAATTCCTAAAATATTCCAGTATCTTCCTTACCTCTGATAATATGGGCCAAAACATCAACAAATTTATACTGGGTACTTTTCCAGTTAAAATACAGATTAAAAGTAATAAATTGCCAGAAAACGAAAAATAATTAAAATTCACTTTGTTTCAGTATTCAGGATTGTAAGGTAAAGAAATAAGATAATAATGTCACAAACTGGATTCTTATATACAATTGAAAAATGTAATAATCATTGCCTTTGTGTTTTGTAGGATTCTAATATATCTCATAATTCCTATGCACCCCCCAATTTGGGGTTATTTAAACATTAATCACTTAAAACTATTTGCCCATCTGTTATAATGTGATAATTTTTAATTATTTTAATACACAGTGATTGAAAAACAAAGAAGATGATAATATTTTGATAATAACATCAGCTGATACACCTACTTTCTGGTATAAAACAATTATTTTTCTGAGCTCTAGGGCTATAGTATAACTTATAGCACCAAGACACACAAAACAAATGAAGATTCTTTTGTAAGAATATTGGATGTGAGGGCAATCTGGCTGCGACATCTGTCACCCCATTGATCCCCAGGGTTGATTCGGCCGATCTAGCTAGTAAGGCGGGTGTCCCTCCCTCACCGCTCCATGTGCGTCCCTCCCGAAACCGGTCTTCGGTCAAGGGTATATGAGTAGCTGCGCTCCCCTGCTAGAACCTCCAAACAACCTCTCAAGAATATTAAATATTGGGTCCAGCACGGTGGACAAGTAGTCAAAGTCCTCACCTTGAATGCCCTGGGATCCCTTATGGGTGTTGGTTTTAATCCTGGCACCTCTACTTCCCACCCAGCTCCCTGCTTGTGGCCCAGCAAAGCAGTTGAGGACAGCCCAAAGCCTTGGGACCCTGCACCCTTGTGGGAGACCTGGAGGAAGTTCCGGGCTCCAGGCTTCGGATCAGGATCGGCACAGTACCAGCCAGCCGTTGCATTCACTTGGGGAGTGAATCATTGAATGGAAGATCTTCCTCTTTGTCTCTCCTCCTCTCTGTATATCTGACCTTGCAATAGAAATAAATAAATCTTGTAAAAATAATAATAAATAATCACTTCTATCTGAGCTTCTTCCGGGTCTCTCACATGGGTGCAGAGTCCAAGGCTTTGGGTTATCCTTGACTGCTTTCCCAGGCCCCAAGTAGGGAGCTGGATGGCAGGTGGGGCCACCAGGACATGAACCCGCGGCCATATAAAATTCTGACACATGCAAGGTGAGGATTCTAGCCACTAGGCTATCACACTGGGCCCAGTTTTAACAATTTTAAAATTAAAATAATACTAAATATATTTTCTGAACATACTGGAATGAAACTAGGTGTCACTCAGAAGAGGAATACTAAACTATACAAATATGAGGAAATTAAACATCAAACTTTTGAACAACCAATAAGCCAAAGAGAACGTAGAAAATATATCAAGATAAATAAAAATAAAGTCCAAGGAAAACAAAACTTACAGAATGCAACAAAAAAGTAAAGAAATAAGTTTATACTGAAAAATATCTGCATTAAAAAGACTTCAAATATACAAACTAGTTATTCCTTAAAGAACTAGAAGAAAATAACTAAAAGAGCCAAGGCAAAAGAAATAAATAAATGTTAAAGAATAAATAAAATACAAAAGAGAAAAATAACGAGAAAAAATAAACAAAAAATTTTACCAATCAACAAAATCAACAGGCCCTTAGACAAAACAGAGAAGACACAAAGAAATAAAACCAAATAAATCAGTGGAGTCAATACTGCAAAAGGAGCATAATTAGTGAAGTTACAGAATAAGTATTATGAAACAACAATGAACAATTATAAGCTAACAAATTATGTAATCTGGGCCTGGCGGTGTGCCCTAGTGGCTAAAGTCCTCACTTTGAACGCACCAGGATCCCATATGGTCGCTGGTTCTAATCCTGGCAGCTCCACTTCCTCTCTATCTCTCCTCCTCTCTGTATATCTGACTTTGTAATAACAATAAAATAAATCTTTTTTTAAAATTATGTAATCTAGAAAAATTGATAAATTATTGGAAATAAACAATGTATAAAGGTTGAACCTGAACAAATTGTAATTACTGAAGAGATTGTACAGGTAAAAACAAATAAGCTCTACACTCATGCATACAAACACACATGCACATACACACACATCAGATGCTTTACTAGAGAATTCTACTGAACATGTAGGGAAGAAAAATACCTAAAAGTTTCAAAAAGTTAAATGTTGAGTACTCAAAAGCATCTTTAAGGATCCAAAAAAATATATATAACAGGATTTTTTATTGGAAAGGTAGATTTATACAGAGGGGAGACAGAAGGAATAAACTTCCATCCACTGGTTCATTCCGCAAATGGCCACAATAGCTGGAGCTGAACCAATCCAAAAAAGAAGGAACTTATACCAGGTCTCCATTGCAGATGCAGGGTCCCAAGGCTTTGGGTCATCCTCCAAAGCTTTCCCAGGGGGCTCCATGGGAAATGAAAAAAACAGGGAAACAAACCGGCCAGAGATTGGGAAAGGAGAATTACAACGGAACGATTGTGCCAAGCCCAAAAAGACAAAGTTGCCAAAATTGCCAGAAGAAAAAATCAATAACAACAAAATGGAAGCACAACATTATGGCAATATAGGAAGGAAATACAGGGTTGTGTGTGTGTGTGTTTTTTTAACAAATAGGAAGTCATAGAGCCAATGAAAATAGAAGGATACTCCTAATCATTTAAGTTGCAGAAAAAGAGGTATGGAAACATAAGTCAGACCCAAAAAATGGGAAATATGGAAGTCCTTAAGTCACAGAAACAATAAAAACCACTCATACAGCTGTGAACAAATAAAATGCTTAAGAAAACTGGTTCTAAAGCTAAGTATATTCACTTATGTCATGTACACAATGCAAAATTAGGAGTAAATCTGTGCGTAAATGCAGAATTCGTTTATGAAATAGATATTATTTCAACTGATATTTAACGTCACTGGCCAAAACTCTTAAACACAAGAAAAATAACTTGCAGTATATTAAACAAAATTAAAACAGAATTAAGTAATTACAAATAAGAGTAAGCAATGAGGAGAGAAAAAAGATGCAGAAACAAATGCACATGCAACGCAGTTTGTGTAATTCTCTTTAAAGTCAGAAAACATGCCAGGTAAACCAAAATTATAAAAGCCAAACGTGCAGACAGACTTAAAAAGAAATTTAAAAAAAATTCAGAAAGCAGAGGAAATGTTGAACGGCATGAAGGTTGATAAAAAGGTTAGCAGTTTTATACAGCTGACAGATCCTAGGATATCCATGCATCTTTTCCGTTCTGACTACTATTTATACTAAAAGGTTTTCGTCCAAGTAAACTGTGTTTAAACATAACCTGTATTGATCCATTCAACACAAACTGCCTTAAAAACCTGCAGTATTACGAACCTCTATTAAATAATGCAACACTGAACGAGGGAAAAGACACACCTGATTTTCTAAAAGATCATACTAAACGACATTAGAAAAAACAGACATCGAGAATTACAAGCCTCCCCAAAAAGAGTCAGAGATACTCAACTACGAAGATTAGAGAAAAGCACCTTAAGGTGACCTTAGACACAAATTCCGTCAACTAACCTTTGCATTGGAATCCTCAGTTCCCGGATGCTGAACTTCTTTCTCTCCAGACTCAGGTAAACAAGGGCTGAAGGCCATGAGGTCGGCCTTGGGCGGGCCCTCCCCAGAGCACACCCGCTGCCGCCTCCGCTGCGAGCACGACCAGCTCCCCACCGCGCTCGAGCACACCAGCGCCGCCGCCGCAGCCGCCGCCGGACCCGACACGCACGCGCCCTCCGACGCCGCACCCGACGACCACCGCGCCGCCGCCCACACCAACAGCGTCAGCACCAGCAGGCTCGACACCGCGCAGATCGCCACCACCAGGTACACGTTCACGTCCACCAGCGACGACGCACCACCCAGCGCGCCCGCCGAGGCCGAGGCCGAGGCCGAGGCCGAGGCGCCAGCCGCCACCGATGCCCGCGACCACGACGGCGACGCCTGACCGCCGTCCACCAGCGACACCAGCACCGTGGCCGTGGCCGTGAGCGCCGGCTCGCCGTGGTCCCGCACCAGCACCACCAGCCGCTGCCGCGGAGCGTCCAGCTCGTCCAGGGCGCGCGTCGTGCTGATCTCGCCCGTGTACAGGCCCACGCGGAACGGGCAGCGCGCGCCGCCCGCAGGCGCCGCCTGCAGCTCGAACCACAGCCACGCGTTGTAGCCCGCGTCCAAGTCCACCGCGCGCACCTTGGTCACCACGTGGCCCGCGCCCGCCGACCGCGGCACCAGCTCGCTCGCAGCCACCGCCGCCCCCGCAGGCCCGCCCGAGCCGCGCGCCAGCAGCCAGGGCGCGTTGTCGTTCTCGTCCAGCACGAACACCTGCAGCGTCACGTTGCTGCCCAGCGGCGGCGCGCCCGCGTCGCGCGCGCTCACCTCCACGCGCAGCACCTCCAGCTCCTCGTGGTCCAGCGGCTGCAGCGCGTACACGCGGCCGCTCTCGCCGTGCACAGACACGTAGCTCGACAGCGCGCGCCCGCCCACGCGACGCTCCACCAGCGAGTACGACACGCGCGCGTTCTCCTGCGCGTCCGCGTCGTGCGCCGTCACCGTGAAGATGTGGCAGCCCGGCGCGTTGTTCTCCTTCACGAACACCGTGTACTCGGCCTGCGCGAACTGTGGCGCGTTGTCGTTCACGTCGGCCACCTCCACCCGCACGCTGGCGCTGGCCCAGCGCGGGGGCGAGCCCGCGTCGCGCGCTCTCACCACCACGTCGTAGCCAGACACGCTCTCGCGGTCCAGGCCGCTGTCCAGCACCAGCGAGTAGTGGTTCTTGTAGGTGGACACCAGCTTGAAGGGCACGTGGGGCTCGAGGGAGCAGGTGACCTGTCCGTTTGGGCCGGAGTCGCGGTCGGACACGCTGATGAGGGCGATGACTGTGCCCAGTGGGGCGTCCTCTTTGATGGGGAGTGTCATTGACTTGAATTCCAACTCAGGAGCATTATCGTTGATGTCGTCTATTTCCACAATGATTCTGCAATGACCAGAGAGTGGAGGCTGTCCTTTGTCTGTGCCCTCCACAAGAATTTCAAAGGATCTGTTTTCCTCATAATCTATAGTTCCTTTTACTACGATTTTCCCAGTATTTGGGTCTATTTGGAACCTCGACTTCAGGTCTTGTGAAATATCGGGTGAGAATGAATAAATAATGTTCCCATTTGATCCTTCATCTGAGTCTGATGCGTTAAGTTGAATAATCAAGGTCTCTTTGGGAACATTTTCTGGTAATTTCACCACGTAGAGGTCTCTGTCGAAAATCGGGGCGTTGTCATTAGCATCCAAGATTGTGATGACCAACTCAACGGTGCCGGTCAGCTCCGGCTTGCCCCCATCAGCGACAGTTAACACTAAAAAAATTACCGGAGTTTCCTCTCGATCTAAGGGTTTGAGTAATACAAGCCCAAGACTTTGCCCTCGCTCCTTACCAGATTGCTTTTCCAGCGAAAAATACTCACTGGGGCTCAGACTGTAGGTCAGCTGAGCGTTCTGACCGATATCTGCATCAGATGCTCCCTCTAGTGGAATTCGAGTGTCAAGGGGCCTGGACTCTGCGATGGACAGATTCTTCCGTGTCGCTGGAAACGCGGGCGCATTGTCATTGATGTCCCTCACCTCCACCTCCACGTGGAACACCTGCAGAGGACGCTCCACCAGCACCTCCAGGTGCACGCTGCACTCCGCGCTGCGCCCGCACAGCTCCTCACGGTCCATCCGAGAATTCACGAACAAGATGCCATTCTGCAGATTCACCTCCAGCAGGTCCGCGCCGCCCCTGGACGCCACCCGGAACAGGCGCGGCACCAGCTCGGCCAGCTGCAGCCCCAGGTCCTGCGCGATGCGGCCCACGAACGTGCCGTGTTTGGCTTCCTCGGGGACCGAGTAGCGCAGCTGGCCGCTCCCTGCCTGCCAGGCTGCGAGCAGCAGAAGCCAGGACAGCAGACATTTGGATTCCTGTCGTCTTGCCCAGGAATATTCCATCTTATGAGCACAGCGATTGCTTCTTTCTTCAGAACCAGTCTCAAAAATCAGCAGCAATCTTCAGTTCGGTCAATCCAAAGCTGATGCATCCTCCATTACCCCGACTCCAGCTTCTCTCCAGAAAGAATTGATGGAATTGTCCGTTTATTATGGCTTACCTCAGATTTATCTCATGGTAAAGAGCGACATCAAGTGGCTCTAAACTGTAAGTATCTGTTCTAGCCATCCACATTGTAAGTGCTGGGCTTGATCTTTTCATCTGATGCTATTTTTTTCCTCTCGTTTTGTGTAAATTACGTGCACATTTTTGCCAGTGATTGGTTTAATGTAATCCTTACTTCACCCCAAGAGCAACTTTTACTTAAGCAAAAATCTCTTTTTAGAAAAAAAAATTTGGAGTTGTAACTGCAGTTAATATACAGTTTGTCAACGTACAGTTCCAGACTGCTGATGAGAAAAAACCATGTTTGACTCCTTGAATTCCTGAGGATACTGGCGGTTGTCAGTAATGCTGACACCCTCTTCAATCTCAGATTTGTATTACTTGTATTGATATGAGTGCACCACAAGTGTCTAGGAAAGCTCTAAGTTCACAAGCAGGTGATGCAAAAAGGAAATTGCAAATGTTTTTAAAAGATATCAAATACCGTTTTTCACCACAGGACTTAAAGTCCAAGAGAAGTTTATTTCTTTGTCTTTTGAAATAAAGGTTTAACAAGGATTAGAAAGTTGTTACCAACAGCTTGTGTAGAAAAGTGTCCCAAGTATCTCTTTCACTGTAATTCATTTATTTCCCATGAGCAAGGGTAATATGCCCTCCTTTTTAAGGATCCATTTTGTTTGTTGGAAAAGTAGAGGGATGGGAAGAGGAAGGAGACAGAAAGAAAGGTATCTTCCATACACCTGGTTCACTCATGCAAATGACTGCAATGTTTTGTGGTAGGGAGCCCAAAAACTCCATCTGGGTCTCTCACTTGGGGGAATCCAAGTACTGCACCACCTTCTGCTGTTTTGCCAGTAAAATTAGCAGAGAGCTGGACTAGAAGTGGAGCAGTCAGTAGTTGAATGAACCATCTGATAAAGAATCCCCCTGGTGGCTGAACTGAACCTGTATAGTCCCCAAGGCTGATATTCTCATTCCGCCTAAGTGGCCTGTTCACCAGTGTCGAACAGGCCTTCTGTTTTTTCCTACAGTACTTCTATATTTTTAGTCACTCTGGATAGTTCGCTGCTTCCAAGCAAGAATATTTTTAAGTAAACATACTATAAGATAGATGCATTATTTTGAAACTGCTTACATAATAATTTTTCCATTTCATAATTTAAAACTTCTCTTGTCCATCAGAAATTTTCTGCTTTCAGCACAGCCATATTTACATTTTATAAACTTAAGTACCCAGATTGAATAACTTGGGTGATATATTATATCAATTCTCTCTTGCAAGAATTTATTTATGAATATCCTTTCTCTGAAATATTAGTTGCAAAGCCAATAGCTGTTATTTTAATAATTTAGCAACTCAAAGTTACTTACATAGTATTTGTTGAATATTCACCTAAAGAAATATTTTCATTTTCTTTGACTGTCCAAAAATGAATTAACTTAATGTAGTTACATGGTTAGACAAAAAAGTAAGACATTTCACACTGTATAATGTTAATACACAATAAGATTATCCTTAGATATTACAATAAGATGTACTTCAATTTTAAATGGAAAACTTCAATTTTAGCTTAATTTTCACTATAATTCATGATCCTTGAGTCCTCCTCGTCATCAAAAAAAAAAAGTTTTCCTGCATAAATTTCCCATACACCAATTTGTTGGTATCTATCTTTTGCCCTTTGTGGTTTATGAGCCACTAAATCCCATAATATTCCAAACACACACAAAAAATCAACCTAATAAAAACATTTTAAGGTTCTCTATGAAGAACAATACTCAAACAAAAATTTGAAGCAGTGCCTGGCGTGATAGCACAGTGGTTAAAGTCCTCGCTTGAATGAGCCAGTATCCCATATGGGTACCGGTTCTAATCCCCACTTCCCATCCAGCTCCCTGCTTGTGGCCTGGGAAAGCAGTTGAGGATGGCCCAAAGTCTTGGGACCCTGACCACCGCATGGGAGACCCAGAAGAAGCTCTTGGCTCCTGGCTTCTGGCTTCGGATTGGCTCAGCTCCAGCCGTTGTGGCCACTAGTGGAATGAACCAGCGGACAGCAGATCTTCCTGTCTCTCCTCCTGTCTGTATATCTATCTACCTTTGTAATAAAAATAAATAAATCTTGAAAAATTTTTTGAAGCAAAACAAAAATTAGACTTGTTTTCACTGTTTAGAAACTCAAATTGTGAATCTTTACAAAATGATCATAGATGCAAAGCATATTAGAAGAAAATAAGAATTTTCCTTTCCATTTATTTTACTTTACAATATGCATATGAGGATTCATTTTTATAACATCAATACATCTATAAGAAGAAAAATCTGAAGAAAAAAAAAAACCTTCAAAATGCTTTTCCAGAAACCTTCCAAAGCCAAGAGTCTTGTTAAGCTAAAAATTCCAGGAGACAAGCTGGATGTGAAGATTGCAGTCTCGTAAGAAGGGTAAGCAGCACTTGGCTGACCCTATGCTATACAATAGGATGATATCAGGGCTCCTCAACACTGAACTGAGGCTGGACACATAGTGGATAGTTAAAGGTTAAGGGAGCAATAAAGAGCAGTAACAGGAAATAAAAAGGAAACAGGAAAATGGAATGAAAAAAAGCACTTCACCTGGCAACTAATTCTCTCCAGGGGCAAGAAAATTGAATAAAGGAGCCAGTGTTGTGGCACAGTGCATGAAGCCACTGATTGCCAAGCCATCATTATATACTAGCAGCAGTTTGTGCCTTGATTGTTTCAATCTTGATCCAGTTCCCCTCTAATGGCCTTGGAAAGCAGCAGAAGCTGGCTCAGGCTTTTGGAGCCCTGGTACTCGTATGGGAGACCCAGAGAAGCTCCTGGCTTCAATCTGGCTTAGTGCTGGCCATTGCAGCTTTGGAGGAAGTGAACCAATGGATGGAAGAAATCTCTCTTCATATCGCTCCTTCTTTGTGACTCTTTCAAACTTAATGCATAAATCTATTTTTAATAAAATACAAAGGAAGTACAACTACTATCTAGGGAGCAGAAACAAATAAATGGGGGAGCACTTACTGAAAATCAGTATGATTTCTAGACTATTCAGAGTCAGATAACAGAAATTTCTATTTACACCATGACACACGAGCAGCAGGGTAACACTCAAGAGAAATCCAGAGTAATAATATAGACTTATCAAATTTGACGCTAGAATTCTTAATAATGTATGCAAAAGAGGTTAAAAAATAAGAAACCTGGCTAGTAGAGTTTTTAGTATTAATAATTGGTATCATTTCAACAAACTGTTCAGATTGAAAAAAAAGTTCCTAAGTTTAAAATATCATTCAGAAATATTTTGCTTTAGTACAGCGACGCAAACTTTTCAATTTAATATCAAGATCTAATTGTCACAACTAACTACAGAGAAACAGAACGCAACAAGAGTGAAATCGCACAAAGTCAGATGCAATCATATTCAGATAAAGAGGAGGGACAGGGCTCAGCATTATAGCCAAACAACTAAAGTTCTCGCCTTGCACGCACCAGAACCCCATATGGGTGCCAGTTCCTGTCCCTGAAGCCCTGCTTCCCATGCAGCTCCCTGATTGTGGCTTAGGAAGGCAGTCAAAGACAACCCAAAATCTAGGGACCCTGCACACATGTGGGAGACTCGGAAGAGGCGCCTGGATTCATATATGCTCTGCTCCAGCCATTCCGGCCCCTTGGGGGGGGGGGTAGGTGGTGAATCATCGAACAGAGGAACTTTCTCAATTCCTGGGTATCTAACTTTCCAATAAAGATAATAAAATGTTTTAACAAATGAGAAACATGAGGCACAGAGACTCCAAGCAAATGAGTAAGAGAATGAAAAAGTTCCATATATGAAAACAGATTAAACATTGCATGAAACTGAAAGATATAGAGGCATAACAGGGAGGGGAAATAGTTCACATTTGGCTCAATTCCCACAACGGACCACTGATTCTAAAACGTGCAAGACATAACCAATAAAAAGTGACAACACATATTGTATATTGTGAGATAATTCCTTCCCAGGAATTACTCAAATCTCTTAAGTGACACTGTTGAGCAATTTTCCAAAATTTTAGAATGAGAACTTAAAGCTAAAACCCAATATTGCTACGGCAATTACCAATAAAATCAAAACTAAATGATAATGATTGGTCTCACTATGTATTTCCGATTCAGTTCTACTTATAATCACAACAAATCTAATATTTCAACACACTTAACGACCGAAACTCAACTCGTGAGGATGCAGTATTGCAAAATCAAATCTAACACGTTTCTAAAGGTAAAAAGGTAAGGAAATAAACAGTAAATTTTACAAAGTGTATATATAAAAATGAAACATATATGTGTATACTCACTTGACTGGAAGAGTCCACAGCCACATTCACTACATCTTCGCTAACCGGACCATGAGGAAGGCTGGGGCTGAAGGCCATGAGGTCGGCCTTGGGCGGGCCCTCCCCAGAGCACACCCGCTGCCGCCTCCGCTGCGAGCACGACCAGCTCCCCACCGCGCTCGAGCACACCAGCGCCGCCGCCGCAGCCGCCGCCGGACCCGACACGCACGCGCCCTCCGACGCCGCACCCGACGACCACCGCGCCGCCGCCCACACCAACAGCGTCAGCACCAGCAGGCTCGACACCGCGCAGATCGCCACCACCAGGTACACGTTCACGTCCACCAGCGACGACGCACCACCCAGCGCGCCCGCCGAGGCCGGGGCCGAGGCGCCAGCCGCCACCGATGCCCGCGACCACGACGGCGACGCCTGACCGCCGTCCACCAGCGACACCAGCACCGTGGCCGTGGCCGTGAGCGCCGGCTCCCCGTGGTCCCGCACCAGCACCACCAGCCGCTGCCGCGGAGCGTCCAGCTCGTCCAGGGCGCGCGTCGTGCTGATCTCGCCCGTGTACAGGCCCACGCGGAACGGGCAGCGCGCGCCGCCCGCAGGCGCCGCCTGCAGCTCGAACCACAGCCACGCGTTGTAGCCCGCGTCCAAGTCCACCGCGCGCACCTTGGTCACCACGTGGCCCGCGCCCGCCGACCGCGGCACCAGCTCGCTCGCAGCCACCGCCGCCCCCGCAGGCCCGCCCGAGCCGCGCGCCAGCAGCCAGGGCGCGTTGTCGTTCTCGTCCAGCACGAACACCTGCAGCGTCACGTTGCTGCCCAGCGGCGGCGCGCCCGCGTCGCGCGCGCTCACCTCCACGCGCAGCACCTCCAGCTCCTCGTGGTCCAGCGGCTGCAGCGCGTACACGCGGCCGCTCTCGCCGTGCACAGACACGTAGCTCGACAGCGCGCGCCCGCCCACGCGACGCTCCACCAGCGAGTACGACACGCGCGCGTTCTCCTGCGCGTCCGCGTCGTGCGCCGTCACCGTGAAGATGTGGCAGCCCGGCGCGTTGTTCTCCTTCACGAACACCGTGTACTCGGCCTGCGCGAACTGTGGCGCGTTGTCGTTCACGTCGGCCACCTCCACCCGCACGCTGGCGCTGGCCCAGCGCGGGGGCGAGCCCGCGTCGCGCGCTCTCACCACCACGTCGTAGCCAGACACGCTCTCGCGGTCCAGGCCGCTGTCCAGCACCAGCGAGTAGTGGTTCTTGTAGGTGGACACCAGCTTGAAGGGCACGTGGGGCTCGAGGGAGCAGGTGACCTGTCCGTTTGGGCCAGAGTCGCGGTCGGACACGCTGATGAGGGCGATGACCGACCCAATTGGAGCGTCTTCTAAAACGGGCAATGACAATGACTTGACGACCAACTCCGGTGTGTTGTCATTCAAGTCCACAATCTCTACCAGAACCGTGCAGTGACCCTCCATTGGAGGGGTTCCTTTATCTGTCGCTTCTACCTGGATTTCATACGACTTACCTTCCTCGAAGTCTACATGACCCTTTACACTAATGTGTCCACTTTCCATGTTTATGTGGAATTTCGACCATATATCTTCTGGTGTGTCCATATTGAATGAATACATAATGTCTTTATTGACTCCTTCATCTGCATCAGAGGCGTTCACGGCCACCACGAGGGTGCCATTCGGGGCGTTCTCGGGTAAGTAGACTTTGTAGACGGACCTCTCAAAGGCTGGGGCGTTGTCGTTCACGTCCAGCACAGTGATCTTCAGCTGAATGGAACCACTGAGCTCTGGTTTGCCTCCATCGGTCGCAGTTATTCGCACGTGATGCTCTGGAGTGTCCTCCCGATCTAAGAGCTTTTTTAACACGAGCCCCAGGGATTTAATTTCCTCACTATTGCTTTTCACGTCCAAGGTAAAATACTCACTGGAGTCCAGAGTGTAAGTCAACACCGCATTTGATCCGATGTCAGCATCTGATGCGCCCTCTAGTGAAAACCGAGAGCCAGGCCGCCGGGATTCCGAAATAAAAAGATTTTTTACCGCCACAGGGAACACGGGCGCATTGTCATTGATGTCCCTCACCTCCACCTCCACGTGGAACACCTGCAGAGGACGCTCCACCAGCACCTCCAGGTGCACGCTGCACTCCGCGCTGCGCCCGCACAGCTCCTCACGGTCCATCCGAGAATTCACGAACAAGATGCCATTCTGCAGATTCACCTCCAGCAGGTCCGCGCCGCCCCTGGACGCCACCCGGAACAGGCGCGGCACCAGCTCGGCCAGCTGCAGCCCCAGGTCCTGCGCGATGCGGCCCACGAACGTGCCGTGTTTGGCCTCCTCGGGGACCGAGTAGCGCAGCTGGCCGCTCCCTGCCTGCCAGGCTGCAAAGAGCAGCAGAAGCCAGAGCAGCAGGCGCTGGGCTCCGGGGCCTCCTCGCCAGGGAAGCAGCATTGCAAAGCTTTTCCAAATATCAATCGCTGTTACCTCGATCCAAAGTGGAGAAGGTAAGTTCGCTTCTTTATGCTTTGCTTCTTAAACTCCTCACCGTTTCCATGTTTATGAGATGATGAGACAAAGCAGCATCCGTATACGTAACACGCTTTTTTTTTAAATGTGTATGAAGACCTTGTGGTCGACAGCGACATCATGTGGCTGAATGTGTAAGTAGTTACTTAGTTTCCTTAACATGCTTAAGCTTCACCCTGATTCTATTTGCAGTTGTAATTCCCTTCAAGCACTTTCCAGTCATTATTATCTGCTAAAATGTATCCTTACTACCTCTCCTCTAATTCAACATTTTCAATTATTCCAATTCATGACACATCATATTCATATTTCTTGTGATTAAGTTTGTAGTAGTGAAAATAGTCCCCATGTGAAAGGCTCTGTTTTATCAAAACTTAACTTTTCGTTAAATTATCACAAAAATCTTCTGATACAGTTGTTGACATGATTCACTTTTTAAAAACACATGGAGGTTATATAAGTTTAAAATAATGCTAAGTGGTATCTCCAACTGAGTCAAGAAGCGCTAACTTGAACTATTTGACTTCCAGGCTACATTTATTATAGCAATCAGATCCTCCAAAATTCACTGTCATCAAAACATGAAGACACAGAAATATTTGCAAAATATGCATATACATATCCAAATATGCCCTTTCATATTTTGACAATTGTCAATTTATAAAATATGTTCATTTATAAAATGACATAAATAACAATTGCATCTTCTATTCAAGGATCATATCCTTGCTAACTGTCTTAACTATTATTTATATAAAGTTGTCATGGCTGAGCCTTTAGCCTAGGGATTAACTTGCTCACTTCCCATGTCAGTGCCTGGGTTCAACAGCTGATCCCAGGTTCCTGGGGATGCAAACTTTGAAAGATGATAGTTTAAAGTAACTGAACCCCTGCCACCTGCCTTAGACACCTGGATTACATTCCCTGCTCCTGGTTTCAGTCCCTCAAGCATTTGAAGAAAAAAAACTAGTACATATGAGCACTCACTTTCTTTCCTTACCTGCCTCACAAGTAAATAATTATTTTTAAAGATGCCAGAAGCAAATCTTCTGTGGTGAAATACATTTGTGAATTTATTTCCTGATGTAGGACACCACTGTATGGTTTGGATACTTGCTACATTTAAGTTGCACCAATTAAGAATACATTAGGGCCCGGCACAGTGGCCTAGTGGCTATCGTTCTCTCCTTGAAAGAGGCAGGATCCCACATGGGTGCCGGTTCGAATCCGGCGGCTCCACTTCCCACCCAGCTTCCTACCTGTGGCCTGGGAAAGCAGTTAAGGACAGCCCAAAGCCTTGGGACCCTGCACCTTGCATGGGAGACCTGGAAGAAGTTCTTGGCTCCTGGTTTGGATTGGTGCAGCACCGGCCGTTGAGGTCACTTGGGGAGTGGATCATCACACAGAAGAGTTTCCTCTCTGTCTCTCCTCCTCTCTGTATATCTGACTTCACAATAAAAATAAACAAAATTTTTAAAAGAATATATTAATTATTTAAATGTCTAAAACTATATTTTTAAAATGCTCCCACCATTTACCTATTTAAAGATTACATGGAGATCGGGCCCGGCGCGGTGGCGCAAGTGGTTAAAGGTCCTCGCCTTGCACGCCCGGGATCCCATATGGGCGCCGGTTCTAATCCCGGCAGCCCCGCTTCCCTTCCAGCTCCCTGCCTGTGGCCTGGGAAAGCAGTCGAGGACGGCCCAAAGCTTTGGGAACCTGCACCCGCGTGGGAGACCCGGAAGAGGCTCCTGGCTTCGGATCGGCATAGTATCGGCCCGTTGCGCTCACTTGGGGAGTGAATCATCGGACGGAAGATCTTCCTCTCTGTCTCTCCTCTCTGTATATCCGCCTTTCCAATGAAAAAATAATAAAAATAAATCTTTAAAAAAAAAAAAAGATTACATGGAGATCTTAAATAATTCACTGAATGAAATCATTGTTTTTAATGGTCTTGAATAGAACAAATGTCTGGATTTTGATTCCTTAAAAGTTGTTACTTGAGAGAATTAATGTTTTTGGAAAAAAAACTGGTGGTTAATCAGTCAGAGAAGAGAGAAAAGTAACTGGAATATTACATCCTCCTCATCATATTCAAGACTAGGCAATGAAATAGTCTAAGGAGTTCTGTGGATTGATGGAGGGGTTGAGAGAAATTATTGAAAAATCCAATTTATGGAGATAAAGGAATGCTGATTTCCTTACAGCCAGACTATTTTTAAATGAAATAAAGCATATTTAAGCATTAGGAGTAAAGTTTTCATACAGTTTTTTTTCCACTATGTACTTAAAGAATAGGAACTGGGATTGTAATTTACCTAAAAAGTAACTTTTTCAAGTGAAACAAGCAGAGGTAAATTACATTAAGGATATCACTTAGAATCAATCTACATAATAATTAGGTGATGATAATATGCTAGCTTATGAAGAAATATACATTTTTAAAAATTATTTCTGGAAGGCATAGATCCAGGAAATAATGTGATATATCAATAGATCAAGTCAGCAATTTCATGAATTTTGAAATATAGCAGCTAGCTTGAAAGGCAGGTAAAAAATTAAAAATTTTAACCATCAGGGGCTTTATTTTAATATTTCATTGACTACTTATGGAAATACTACATATTTCACTACATTTAAGTTAGAACAAATTACAAAATGGTAATACCACATGGGAATTAATAACAGTAAACTCCGCACTGCTTTTCATGGCATGGAACAAGTGCAGAAAATTGAGCCAATGTGTCCATTGGTGACACTGTCAGTGAAACGATCACCCAGATGTTCCCTTAATCAACTAAAACTTAATCTAATTCAATGGATCAATTTTAGCTTGATCAATTAAAACTTGTAAATATGAAGAAACCCATAAAACTCATGAAGCATTACACTGTGTCTCCTAGAGATCAAGGCATATCTGAGTATCATTGTGAAGGCTGACTGTGTATCTATGGTAGGACCATGGTAACAGATATACAATAGGACACGTTCCATCTGAGCATGCACATAGCCTGCACTCAAATCTCAGGGAAGGATGAGTCACTGTGATACTTGGGGCCAGACAATTCCCAAAACACAAAGCTGCTGCTTCTTTCTTCAAGCCATTTGTTGTACTCTATGAAAACTTAGAGGAACTTTCCTGATTCCAACGAAATGCATACCCCACGTTTTGAGGCAAGATTCTCATAGGATCACACACACTGTGGTTTTTATGGAAGTCAAGATGTCTCCACCAACCTCCTCACCTCCTTGGAAAACATATCCTCAATGGAAATAAATCTTCTGACCTAACTAACGTGTGAGGTTAAGATCACCCAGGAGATGTTACTTCTGTGATGCATCCAGATACACATACATTTGAAAAATACAGCAGATAACTAAGGAATTCAATGGTACAGTTCATTATCTTAATTACCCAAAATATGTGAAAATTTTACAGATAAAAATACGCTTCATCCAAGACCAGAAATATTTTGGGAAAACTCTACTTCAAGTGTAAAGTAGTGGGTTGCATGTAACCATGTCCTGGCTGTTCCACTTCCCATCCAGCTCCCTGCTTGTGACCTGGGAAAGCAGTGGAGGACTGCCCAAAGCCTTGGGATCCTGCACCTGCATGGAAGACCTGGAAGAAGCTCCCAGCTCTTGGCTTCAGATCAATTCAGCTCCAGCTGTTGTGGCTATTTGGGTAGTGAACCAGCGGATGAAGATCTATCTCTCTGTCTCCAAATACTGTGAAATGAAGCTGGATGCATTTGCAGCAACAGAAAATGTAGTCCCCAACATGCGCTGAAGAACCTAAAAGAGTGGTCAATTTTTGCCCAATGGGAATTGTGCAAGCCTTCACTAAATGAATCTGATACTGGAACAAGAACCAATCAATGACCAGCACAAAGATCAAGCTAATGTAATCTCCACTTAGGCAAAAAGTACCACCATCTGACCAATCACAGGGGGATTTTAAACAGATTTTTAAAAAGATTTATTTTTATTGGAAACACAGATTTACAGAGAAAGGGAGACAAACAGAAAGGTGTTTTGTCAGCTGGTTCACTCTCCAAGCGGCTGCAACAGCCAGAGTTGAGCTTGAGTGTGAAGTCAGAAGCCAGGAGACTCCTCCAGGCTTCCACAAGGGTTAAGGGTCCCAAGTCTTTGGGCCTTCCCTGTCTGCTTCTCCATGCCACAAGCAGGAAGCTGGATGGGGAGTGGAGCAGCTGGGACACGAACTTTCACCCTTATTTAAACCCAGTCAATACAAGGTGAGGATTTAGCCACTGGCCTATTTCACTGGGCCCAACAATGAGATTTTTAACTTTGCAAAATCAAGGGAGGAATATTTTCTGAATAAACTCTCTATTTTGCCTGAAAATGGGAAGATTTGGGACAAATAATTATCCCAAATAACAGATTACATTACTGATAAAAGATATTCTCCAGAATATCAGCTATTTCTAAGTGTTGCCTATGTTATAACCACCTATAACAGAAGATTTTCAGAGGTCCTGCCAATAAACGATTCTAATGAATATTTCAAACACAAGGGAAGAAAAAAACTTAATAGCTGTTGCATAAATGAAGAGAAGTGTATACTTTCATATTACAAAATGTATTCAGGTGCCTGGCACAGTAACCTGGCAACTAAAGTCCTCACCTTGCACACAGCCCCGGGATCCCATATGAGTGCCAATTCCTGCCCCAGCACTCATGTTTCCAATCCAGCTCCCTGCTTCTGGCCTGGGAAAGCAGTGGAAGACAGCCCAAAGCCTTGGGACATTGCACCCACATACGAGACCCAGAAGAGGCTCTGGGCTCCTGGATTCAGACAACTCAGCTCTAGCTGATGAGGCCACTTTGGGAGTGAATAATGGAGAGAGGAGAGGAGCTTCCTCTTGCTCCTTCTCTCTGTATATATGATTTTCCAATAAAAATAAGCAAATAAATGTGTAGGGTTTTTTTTTTTTTAATGTATTTGGGGTTGTGGTATAACAGGTAGGAGCAACACCTGCAGTACCAGCATCCCATAGGAGCCCTGGTAACTGGCTCAGCTGCTCCACTTCTGAACTAATTTCCTAATGGCGGCCTGGGAGGAGCAGTGAAGGACAGACAATGTTCAGATGCTGCATCCATGTAAGAGACTCACATTAAGTTCCTAGCTCCTGGTTTCAGTTTGGCCAGACCAGATAACTCATTGCAATCACTTTGAAAGTGAACTAGCAGATAAAACATACGTGTGTCTGTGTGTTTGTGTGTGTGCGTCTTACCTTCCTCTCTGGAGTGAATAAGTAAAAAGATATTTCATATATCATCTATAGAATTAAAGCACATCACGAGTTCAAAATGCAAGAAATTGATCTGTAATTCATACTCAATCCTTCATTAGAGGTATGATATAAATTACAGAATTATGGATCAAAGCAATTAATAGGTATCAAACCAGAAAAACAGACGATTTGCAAATCAGGCAAGAAACGTTTAAAGCTTACCTGGCCTAAATATTCGGATTCTAAGGGCTGTTGTGATTCTTCTGCACACTCCGGACCCTGGGAAAGGCTGGGGCTGAAGGCCATGAGGTCGGCCTTGGGCGGGCCCTCCCCAGAGCACACCCGCTGCCGCCTCCGCTGCGAGCACGACCAGCTCCCCACCGCGCTCGAGCACACCAGCGCCGCCGCCGCAGCCGCCGCCGGACCCGACACGCACGCGCCCTCCGACGCCGCACCCGACGACCACCGCGCCGCCGCCCACACCAACAGCGTCAGCACCAGCAGGCTCGACACCGCGCAGATCGCCACCACCAGGTACACGTTCACGTCCACCAGCGACGACGCACCACCCAGCGCGCCCGCCGAGGCCGAGGCCGAGGCGCCAGCCGCCACCGATGCCCGCGACCACGACGGCGACGCCTGACCGCCGTCCACCAGCGACACCAGCACCGTGGCCGTGGCCGTGAGCGCCGGCTCGCCGTGGTCCCGCACCAGCACCACCAGCCGCTGCCGCGGAGCGTCCAGCTCGTCCAGGGCGCGCGTCGTGCTGATCTCGCCCGTGTACAGGCCCACGCGGAACGGGCAGCGCGCGCCGCCCGCAGGCGCCGCCTGCAGCTCGAACCACAGCCACGCGTTGTAGCCCGCGTCCAAGTCCACCGCGCGCACCTTGGTCACCACGTGGCCCGCGCCCGCCGACCGCGGCACCAGCTCGCTCGCAGCCACCGCCGCCCCCGCAGGCCCGCCCGAGCCGCGCGCCAGCAGCCAGGGCGCGTTGTCGTTCTCGTCCAGCACGAACACCTGCAGCGTCACGTTGCTGCCCAGCGGCGGCGCGCCCGCGTCGCGCGCGCTCACCTCCACGCGCAGCACCTCCAGCTCCTCGTGGTCCAGCGGCTGCAGCGCGTACACGCGGCCGCTCTCGCCGTGCACAGACACGTAGCTCGACAGCGCGCGCCCGCCCACGCGACGCTCCACCAGCGAGTACGACACGCGCGCGTTCTCCTGCGCGTCCGCGTCGTGCGCCGTCACCGTGAAGATGTGGCAGCCCGGCGCGTTGTTCTCCTTCACGAACACCGTGTACTCGGCCTGCGCGAACTGTGGCGCGTTGTCGTTCACGTCGGCCACCTCCACCCGCACGCTGGCGCTGGCCCAGCGCGGGGGCGAGCCCGCGTCGCGCGCTCTCACCACCACGTCGTAGCCAGACACGCTCTCGCGGTCCAGGCCGCTGTCCAGCACCAGCGAGTAGTGGTTCTTGTAGGTGGACACCAGCTTGAAGGGCACGTGGGGCTCGAGGGAGCAGGTGACCTGTCCGTTTGGGCCGGAGTCGCGGTCGGACACGCTGATGAGGGCGATGACTGTGCCCAGTGGGGCGTCCTCTTTGATGGGGAGTGACAATGATGTTATGTAAATCTCTGGCATGTTATCATTGATATCCACCACTTTCACTGATACTTTACAGTGGCCTGACATTGGAGGGGTTCCTTTGTCAGATGCAATAATCTGAATGTCGTAGGATTTTATTTCCTCATAATCTAACTTTCCCTTAGTTCTGATTTCCCCTGTTTGGGGATCTATTTTGAACATAGCCTGTACAGTGGAGGGCACATCACTACTGAGTGAATACAAAATCTCATTGTTAGGTCCTTCGTCTGCATCCGAAGCATTTACCTTAACGACTAACGTGCCTTCTGCAAGGTTCTCCAACAACTGCACTTTGTAAACTGATTGGGCAAAAATGGGTTCGTTATCATTTACATCTAATACTGTAATGTGTATCTGAACAGTGCCCGTCAGCTCAGGCTTGCCCCCATCCGTAGCCACTAGCAACAAATTAATCTCAGCAGCTTCCTCTCTGTCCAGAGGTTTCCCCAGCACAAGAAATAGAGACTGGCTTAGGTCGTCATTCGTCTGTACATCTAGAGAGAAAATCTCACTGGGGCTGAGCCTGTAGGAGAGGAGGGCATTGACTCCGATGTCTGCATCAGATGCACCCTCCAGAGGAAACCTGGAATCAAGCAGTCTGGATTCATGAAACTGGATAGTCTTTACCGTCATAGGAAACACGGGCGCATTGTCATTGATGTCCCTCACCTCCACCTCCACGTGGAACACCTGCAGAGGACGCTCCACCAGCACCTCCAGGTGCACGCTGCACTCCGCGCTGCGCCCGCACAGCTCCTCACGGTCCATCCGAGAATTCACGAACAAGATGCCATTCTGCAGATTCACCTCCAGCAGGTCCGCGCCGCCCCTGGACGCCACCCGGAACAGGCGCGGCACCAGCTCGGCCAGCTGCAGCCCCAGGTCCTGCGCGATGCGGCCCACGAACGTGCCGTGTTTGGCCTCCTCGGGGACCGAGTAGCGCAGCTGGCCGCTCCCTGCCCGCCAGGCTGCAAAGAGCAGCAGAAGCCAGAGCAGCAGGCGTGGGGTTTCAAGGCCCCTTCTCCAAGAAGACATCATTCTAATCCTTAGTGTTGGTCAGATAAAAATACTACGCTTTGAGCGAATTTAAATACCCAGGTTCCTGCCCTAGTCCAGCTGCTTCCCTTACTGTTCTGTATCCGGACTAACAAAGGGTTGTGGGCGTTTGCCTTCGCAGAGAACACTTTGTGGTGGACAGCGACATCCTGTGGCTAAATGTAGTTTTTACTGTCTGTTCTGCAGATTTAAAATTAGACAATTGTTTGCTCTACACACAGCTTTCATCTTGGAAATTAACTTATTTTAAGCTCTTAAATGAATAACCATTTCCTCCTTTTCTATTGTAGTTTTTTAAAGTAACATCAAATTTACCATAAGAACCCTAGTTTATTGCACAGCATAGTAATGTTAAGTATGTTCATATTGCTGTGTATTCTTCATCTCAGTACAAGCCAAGTCACTGACTCCAACAGAGGCATCCTGTATCAGAGTGACAGTTCCGATCCCAGCTGTTCTGCTTCCGATCGAGTTCCCTGCTCATGCACATGGGAAATCAGCGGACAAGGGTCCAAGTCCTTCGTCCCTTCTCACTGTGTGGAAATCCAGGATGAAGTTCTTGGCTCCTGGCTTCGGCCTGGTTATGACCCAGCTGCTGTAGCCATCCGGGAGTTGAACCAACAAAAGGAAGGTGCCTCTCCCCCACTCTGCTTTCAAATAAGTAAATCTTTTCTTAAAAATGTTCACATCCATAAAGCAGAAGTAAAATCTTCACTAAAGAAACGCTGACTTTTCCTAGACATTGGGTCCCAATAAGTTCTGGTTTTTAGCCCAAAACCTTAAGGTATTTATTCACACCATTTATGAAGTGTATTTTAATAATATTAATGAAACTCTAACAGTGAACTCCAAGTAATCAGATCAGGAAAACAACATCATTTATTGACTTATACTTGGAAACATAATTACACACTAGTTTTCAGAGCTGTGTCTCAGTGCCACCATAAAGAAAATATCTCCTATTTATGATTTATTTTCCTCTCCTGGCCTTCTCCCTAGGTAGATCTTTCCCATGTTGTGGCATAATAACCAAAGTAACTTTCAGCATACACATTACCAGTTCAGTGGTTTTAAACAGAAAACAAAACAAAATCCTAAGTATTGCTCCATATGGCCCAATTTGGGTGATAAATCATTGTTGCAACCAATAGCTGTGATGATTCTCACATTTGCCAGATGAGTCACTTGTCCTTTCCTAAAGCCAGGGATTAAATTAGCTCCACCTAAATTAGCAAATTTAAACAGAAGAAGTTGGTTCTTCCAAAGGCCATGACATGGACTTTAGTTATGGAGCTTAAACTGGTTGCAGACAGCTACAGATTATTACTGCACTGTGGAGTTGTAATGAAATTGAAAATGCAGCAATTTTTATGCTATCTATGCTAACATAATTAGCATATAATGAGCATGGTTGGAACACTAAAGAATTATATTTTGAATGCAGATATTAGCTCTGAGAAACATGGGATGCTTGAAGCAAGTTTTGCAATCCAACAAGGTAACTGTTCTGGATTTTCAGAATGATTTATCTGGGGGGTATATAAGACACATTTTGATCTGTTACTCAGAGTCTCTAGTGACATAAAACCTCTCCCTCCTGAGAGAAAGAGAGAGTCAGTCAGACAGACAGAGCAACACCAGATATGTAAGTGCATTCCCCCAAGTGGGGAAAGGAAACTGGGAAGACCCTCCTCTGGCTTGACATCTCCCAATATCTATACAGAATGGACAAGTACCCCTAAAAGATATCCTCAACAAGCATTTTAGATTTCAAATAAAAACTTTGCAGATATAAATCAGGTAAAGGTCTTGAACATCCTAAATTTAGGGCAGATCATAAATCCAAGAATAACTGTCTCAGACAGGAAAAAGGAAAGCACACAGTGACTCAAGAAAGCAGAAAATGCGAAGACAAATGAGGAGTTAGGTAAAGTCGATAAATGGCCAGGATTACAGGAAGCTGCAAGAGGCAAATTTTCCTCTAGAGTCTCTGGAGGGAATATGGTCCACCTTGATTTTGGATTTCTGCACTGTAAAAAATGTTGCATTTCTCTGGTTTCAAGTCAAGCCAAAAAAGTTTGACACAATTTGTTTTATAACCCAAGGAAACTATGTAGAACCCATTGCTGAATTGTACTCTGCATCTATCAAACTCTAAATTCTATAAACACTGTATGTCTGAGCAGTCATTTTTCTACAGGAATAACATGATATAAAATTTGCTTTTCAGAAATGATCAACAATCACTTGATTACTAGCAAACTGGGGCAGTAAAACTTTCAAACTGTCAAATTTCATTACTAATGAAATAGCATTTAGGGGGAAAAATCATGCAAAAATGTTCCCAATAGGCTGCTCTGAGCAGTCCTTCTTACAAAACCCTCAGCCTGCTATTTCACAAAAGCAGTACAAAAAAGGGGGAAATGGATGCTAAACAAGAGAAAATAGAGTACCTATAACATTTGGCTTTTTATCTACTAACCTTTTTAAATAAGAAAAAGTTAGGATGTAAGAGACTTTTCCAAAGTACCTACATTTTTCGAATCTGCTAATTGGTTAGATGCCTAGATTTAAAAATGTCGATGAAATTCTATCAGTTGTGTGACCTGTTGTACTCAAGTTCTTATGTTCTCAAAACATATTCTAATTGCATTATTTTAATGGTGATAGAACTCCATTATCTTAATGGTGATAGAACTCCAACTCCAAGCATATTGCTGTGCACTCGTTCAACAACCCCTCTAAAAACAAGCACAGCTTTATTTCTTTCTCCTCTAAAGTCCTTTGCAGTTACTAGAGACTTCCTATGCCAGCTTTTGTCCACACATTGATTAAAATTCCCAGAACACATTGACTTCAAGGCATTTCAATATCAGCCCACATTTCCGCAACTGCTGTCACAGGAAAAGACAGTGACAGCACACTTGTACTGGCAGCTACATTTGCTGTTTAGAATGGACAACATCATGGCACATTTCAATGGTCACCTCAGAGCAATAGTAAAGTTAAATTGTCAAACAAGAGCAAGGGAGCCACAGAAAGAACAGATGGAAAAGTAAGAAAGTAACAGCTACTCTATGTCAATGAGTGGATTCTTCAAGGACCTCATACTGCTTGGAGTGGCAAGATTGGCAGCGATTCATAACTATTGAAATATCAAAACCACTTGAGCAAGAACCTCAGAGCATACCCTACATCCGGGACCTGGGGAGGGTGGGAAATTGGGTGGGCCTTCTCCCTTAATACCCCCTTTAAACATGAAGGAAACAATATGGAAAAAATGATAGTCTTATCCCCCCCCAAAGAAAGTAACAGCTACTTCTGTCCAATGTGATTGTTTTCCTGCCTAACTCCCCTCCTGCCTCGTAACGGGGAGTTCTGCTTTTATTTGCTTTTCAACCAAATAAACATTTCTGTGGTATTTATTGGAAATATTTTGACTTTTCCATATACCAGTCAAATCTTAGGTTCTTGCATATTGAGCATAAAAACTCAAAGTTATGAAACAAATGGAACCCACAACTGTGACTTTGAATTTGAAAAAGGAGAGTAGTAAAGTAAAATACTTAGTTCGTCTTCATAAAAGTAAGAAAAAGATGGACATTTGGCACAGCGCTTACACCCTGCTTTGGGACCTGGTGGCTAAAATCCTCATGTTGCATCCATTGGTTTTCCACATGGACGCTGGTTCATTTCCAATCCAACTGCTCCCCTTCTAATCCAGCTCCCTGCTTGTGGCCTGGGAAAGCAGTAGACGACGGCCCAAAGCCTCGAGACTCTATACTTGCGATGGGTTCCCAGAAGTTCCTGGCGCCTGGCTTTGGATTGGTACAGCTCCCACTATTCTGGCCATTTGGGGAGTGAACCAGTGAACGAAAGATCTTTCTCTCTGTATCACCTTCTTTTCATGAATCTAATCTGCCTTTCCAATAAAAATTAAGGAATTTTTTTTAAAACATACTTTTGTAAAAAAAAATTCCCATTATAAGCTACCTTAAATCTTTTACAAAAGGAAATGAATCCATAAATTTTTAGATATCCTTAGAAAATTATGGGAAAAATAGTTTATTCATAATACTGACCTTTGTTCTCCGAGCCTCAGTGTCTTCTCCCATAAAGCATTCCCCTACAAAATCCTTGGAAGAGTTCAATGGAACAAAACTAAAGGGTGAGTAAATGAAAGGTGCTCAACCCTAAGTGGGTCCTCTTGGCTTTTTTTTTTTTAAGTTCATTTGAAAATCAGAGAGAGAGAAACAGACAGAGAATATCTTACACCCACTGGCTCACTCTACAAATGGCCACAACTGCCGAGTCTGGACAAAACAGAAGCCAGAAGCTACACACTCCATCCAGGTCTCCCATGTGGGTGACAGAAGCCCAAGATCCAGTCACCTTCTGCTCTTTTTTTGTTTTTAAGATTTATTTTATTTTTATTGGAAAGGCGGATATACAGAGAGGAAGATCTTACATCCGATGATTCACTCCCCAAGTGAGTGCAACGGCCTATGTCCTCGACTGCTTTCCTGGGCCACAGACAGGGAGCTGGATGGGAAGCAGGGCTGCCGGGATTAGAACTGGTGCCCATAAGGGATCCCGGCCATGCAAGGCGAGGACCTTAACCACTGCACCACCGCGCAGGGCCCCACCTTCTGCTCTAATCCTGGCACACTAACAGGACGCTGATGGGAAGGGAAGCAGCTGGACTCCAACTTGTATCAGATTCCAGTGTGGCAGGCATCTGTTAAACCACTGAGCCACAAAGCCATGCTCCTAAGTGGATCTTCTATATAACAATTCCTGTAGTACTAATCCTTCCAGATCAAGGTAAACTTAGGGTCAACATATGTAATTCATCATGAAAATGAAGTGCTTCTATGCTTTAATGCAAAACTTTTAAAATATCATTAAAATAAATACATTTTCAGTCCTACATACTTAAAACTATCCTGTGTATTGATTTCTTGAATCCTAACAATGTAGAGGAGAGGAAGATGGTTACCTTGCCTACATCGATAGACCCAGATCTTGACGTCCAACCAGCAATATTCAAGTAAAAATTAAACCTGAATTCTCCAGTGTTTGACAACATTGAGATCTTGAGTTATTTATGACTAACACACAAGAAAATAAGATATTTTAAGAAGTATTCAAACACTTAAATAGAGGAACACGAAAGTTTCTGTTTTCTTACTACTTCCACTGAGGATGAAAGTGCAATTGATTGCTTAGCTACGATAAACACAAAGGTTTGATTCATTGTTAGAGAACACCTGGAATCTGTAAAATTTCTTATCCATATTTAGAAATCAGATTACTCAAATATATATATAAATGAAATTGAACTCAAAGCAGAATTAAAGGACTTACATTACCGGAAAGATCCATATTTCCTTGTGGATGTTCACTTGCTTCAGCTGTGTTGATGCTGGGAGACAAGCCAGGACTGAAGGCCATGAGGTCGGCCTTGGGCGGGCCCTCCCCAGAGCACACCCGCTGCCGCCTCCGCTGCGAGCACGACCAGCTCCCCACCGCGCTCGAGCACACCAGCGCCGCCGCCGCAGCCGCCGCCGGACCCGACACGCACGCGCCCTCCGACGCCGCACCCGACGACCACCGCGCCGCCGCCCACACCAACAGCGTCAGCACCAGCAGGCTCGACACCGCGCAGATCGCCACCACCAGGTACACGTTCACGTCCACCAGCGACGACGCACCACCCAGCGCGCCCGCCGAGGCCGAGGCCGAGGCGCCAGCCGCCACCGATGCCCGCGACCACGACGGCGACGCCTGACCACCGTCCACCAGCGACACCAGCACCGTGGCCGTGGCCGTGAGCGCCGGCTCGCCGTGGTCCCGCACCAGCACCACCAGCCGCTGCCGCGGAGCGTCCAGCTCGTCCAGGGCGCGCGTCGTGCTGATCTCGCCCGTGTACAGGCCCACGCGGAACGGGCAGCGCGCGCCGCCCGCAGGCGCCGCCTGCAGCTCGAACCACAGCCACGCGTTGTAGCCCGCGTCCAAGTCCACCGCGCGCACCTTGGTCACCACGTGGCCCGCGCCCGCCGACCGCGGCACCAGCTCGCTCGCAGCCACCGCCGCCCCCGCAGGCCCGCCCGAGCCGCGCGCCAGCAGCCAGGGCGCGTTGTCGTTCTCGTCCAGCACGAACACCTGCAGCGTCACGTTGCTGCCCAGCGGCGGCGCGCCCGCGTCGCGCGCGCTCACCTCCACGCGCAGCACCTCCAGCTCCTCGTGGTCCAGCGGCTGCAGCGCGTACACGCGGCCGCTCTCGCCGTGCACAGACACGTAGCTCGACAGCGCGCGCCCGCCCACGCGACGCTCCACCAGCGAGTACGACACGCGCGCGTTCTCCTGCGCGTCCGCGTCGTGCGCCGTCACCGTGAAGATGTGGCAGCCCGGCGCGTTGTTCTCCTTCACGAACACCGTGTACTCGGCCTGCGCGAACTGTGGCGCGTTGTCGTTCACGTCGGCCACCTCCACCCGCACGCTGGCGCTGGCCCAGCGCGGGGGCGAGCCCGCGTCGCGCGCTCTCACCACCACGTCGTAGCCAGACACGCTCTCGCGGTCCAGGCCGCTGTCCAGCACCAGCGAGTAGTGGTTCTTGTAGGTGGACACCAGCTTGAAGGGCACGTGGGGCTCGAGGGAGCAGGTGACCTGTCCGTTTGGGCCGGAGTCGCGGTCGGACACGCTGATGAGGGCGATGACGGTGCCCAGTGGGGCGTCCTCAGGGATGGGCAAAGATGGCGAGGTGACAGACAGCTCAGGAGAGTTGTCGTTTACGTCCAGAACTTTCACCAGCACTTTGCAGTGATTGGACATGGGAGGACTGCCTTTATCGACGGCCTTTACCTGAATTTCATAGGATTTTGTTTCTTCGTAATCCAGTTCACCAATTACTCTAATTTCTCCTGAACTGGGATCTATTTGGAACGTCTTCTGGGTGTTGGGAGAAACCTTACTGCTAAATGAAAAGACAACTTCGCCATTGATGCCCTCATCGGCGTCGGAGGCGTTCACTGTGGCCACCAGTGTCCCAGGTGCGGCAGTCTCAAGCAAGCGGACCTTGTACACCGCCTGCTCAAACCGGGGGGCGTTGTCATTCACGTCCAGCACGGTGATCAGCAGCTGGACTGTCCCTGTCATCTCTGGTTTGCCCCCGTCGGTAGCTGTCAATAACAAATGAAGTTCTGGGGTTTCCTCTCTGTCCAAAGATTTCTTCAGTTCAAGGGACAGAGACTGACCCAGTTCATCGTTCGCCTGTACGTCCAGGGAGAAATAATCACTGGAGCTCAGGGTGTACCTTAGAAGGGCGTTGGTACCAATATCCGCATCAGATGCTGCCTCTATCGGAAACCGCGAATCGGGCAGCCTCGATTCATAAATCTGCATTCTTTGTTCCTTCTCAGGGAACACGGGCGCATTGTCATTGATGTCCCTCACCTCCACCTCCACGTGGAACACCTGCAGAGGACGCTCCACCAGCACCTCCAGGTGCACGCTGCACTCCGCGCTGCGCCCGCACAGCTCCTCACGGTCCATCCGAGAATTCACGAACAAGATGCCATTCTGCAGATTCACCTCCAGCAGGTCCGCGCCGCCCCTGGACGCCACCCGGAACAGGCGCGGCACCAGCTCGGCCAGCTGCAGCCCCAGGTCCTGCGCGATGCGGCCCACGAACGTGCCGTGTTTGGCCTCCTCGGGGACCGAGTAGCGCAGCTGGCCGCTCCCTGCCCGCCAGGCTGCAAAGAGCAGCAGAAGCCAGAGCAGCAGGCGCTGGGCTCCGGGGCCTCCCCGCCAGGGAAGCAGCATCTCAAAAGCACACCGTTTGAACCACAATTACTCTACTTCAAAACTATTCCCCCCTCTTTCTGTTTTACTTGGTATTTCCGATCATTTATCTCCTTACCGGTTCCGTCTTCTCCATGGCTTGACAAAATGGAGCTTCCTCCTTGCGTTCTTAGCGCTATGCATTTCCATTGACAAGACTTTGTGGTGTACAGCGACATCATGTGGCTACTGTGTAGAGCAGATAAATGCACTGACCTTCCAATACACAATCTGTATCATTAAGCAAAGCAATCATTTTCAGATCTAGATTCTTTAAAGACCCAGGGCATTCCAGCCTTCCTTTTAGAGTATGTGTGTACGTCAATATTTTTCTTTAGCTGTTGAGACACAGATACTACAACTGAATGGGGAAAAAAAAATTCAGGGTCCACTTATATACATAACCTCTCATTACTTCATTTCATTTAAACTACGTATATCACATTTTCTTGTTAAATAAGTAAACTGGAATACCAAAGTTTTAAAACATGTACTTTTACCACTAAACTTGGTATTCTATAGACCAATATGGGCATGTGTGGATTTTTTAAAATTTTTTTTATTTGTTCAAAAGAATGACAGATTTCCTGCTTGCTGGTTCACTCTCCAAATGTCCACAGCCAGGAGTGAACTGAGCTGGGCAAAGCAAAGAGCCAGGAGCTCGGTCCTGTTCTCCCACCTGGGACCCAAGTATTTGAGCCATCATCCTCTGCCTCCATGCATGCATCGCATCAGGACATTAAAATAAGGATACAAGCTGAAACCTGAACACAGGCACTCCAATGTGCCATTCAGATGTCTTATGCATTAAGCTGAATTCCTTCCCTAATATCCACTTTTTTAAAATATTAGGGCTATTTAAAGTGTATTTATATAATCAGATAATCACCAGCTTCTTATATATGACATTTTTAGAAAATTTTCTGGACTACATTTTTGAATTATTGAATGTTGTTTGAACCGTTTCATCATTTTCTGATAGCTTAAATGTTAAAATCAATATATTTGGGACATTTTGCTTTGTTGTTACACAAGTGTTGAATATATGACTGGTTTTCACAAGTCATTATTTTAAATTGAATTAGTATCTCTGAGTTCTCTATTCCCATATCAAATTTTCAACCATATGTTTTTCTTAACACCAAAAAACTGACATATTGCAATAAAATAAAATGTCTATATGAAACCACTATCAAAAATACATATTAAGAATATCAAACTAGGGCCCAGCGCGGTGGCGCAAGTGGTTAAGGTTAAGGGCCTTACACGCCCGAGATCCCATATGGGCGCCGGTTCTAATCCCGGCAGCCCCGCTTCCCTTCCAGCTCCCTGCCTGTGGCCTGGGATGGCAGTCAAGGACGGCCCAAAGCTTTGGGACCCTGCACCCGCGTGGGAGACCCAGAAGAGGCTCCTGGCTTCGGATCGGCATAGCATCGGCCTGTTGCGCTCACTTGGGGAGTGAATCATCGGACGGAAGATCTTCCTCTCTGTCTCTCCTCTCTGTATATCCGCCTTTCCAATGGAAAAATAATAAAAATAAATCTTTAAAAAAAAAAAAAGAATATCAAACTAGTCCAAAGTTTAAAAAGTACAAATCTGATGGGAAGAGTGTTTTTGAAAAAATGATTTAAAAATAAATTTATTTAGAACTTCATTTCCAACTTCAATTCATAATCAGAACCACAAAATTACATAAATTTTTATAGAAAGTATTGTCAGAATAAATTGTAACTTGTAATTTTTTTTAAAAAAAGAATGACCTCATGTTTATACTTTAAGTACTAAGAGTATTTTAAAAATATCAATATGGATAAGGGTTATTTAATCCATTATAACTTCATAATCAGAAAATCCATTTCCTTATTCATCTGATCAGTTAAATCTAGATGAAACTTTTTGAAGTCAAACATTTTAGTGGTAGCTCATGTAGCACTTTCTACTGTCTTACAAAAAAGTAGGGCATGGGCCCAGCATGGTATCCTAGCAGCTAAAGTCCTTGCCTTGCACATGCTGGGATCCCAAATGAGCGCTAGTTCTAACCCCAGTGGCCCCGCTTCACATCCAGCTCCCTGCTTGTGGCCTCGGAAGGCAGTGGAGGATAGTTCAAGGCCTTGGGACCCAGAACCTGCCTGGGAGACCTGGAGGAGGCTCCAGACTCCTGCTTCGGATCAGCTCAGCTCCAGCCATTGCAGCCGTTTGGGGAATGAATCAACAAACAGAAGATCTTCCTGTTTCTCCTCCTCTCTGTATATCTGACTTTCCAATTTAAAAAAAAAAAAAAGTAATAGTAGATCAATACTTGCAGGGGTTAAAAAAGTGGCCATGGGGGAAAGGGGAAACAGAAATAAGTATAGTAGGGCTATCAGAAGGATCATTGTAATAAATAAACAGATCTTTAAAAAGAGAACTAATTCCCTCAGTTGCCATCAAGACACACAGTATTTGCATCCTTAAAATAACCTTTGCCCTTTATGTTATGGAAGTCACACATCACATATTTATTCACTCTATGTCCAATAACACACATAGTATTATGCATATATTTTAGATTTTACTGAAAACTGAAATAAAGTTACTAACCAAAACTACAATAAAATTGGATTTTGTATATGTCCAACCATTTACCTTTACTGAAGATCTTTATTCATATTTGTGCTCCTAGCAGGCATTTTTTCATTTCAACCTTAACTATTTCTTCTAAGACAAGTCTAGCGGCAATGAATTGGCTTATCTTTTGCTAATATGTAAATATTTTCATTTACCCTTCATTATAAAAAAAAATATATTTGAAAGGCAAAGTGATGGGGAATTCAGAGAAAGAAAGAGACAGAGAGATCCATCTTCCATCTACTGGCTCAAGCCCAAAATGGCCACAATAATAGCCAAACTGATGCCAGCAACTCCTTGTGGGTTTCTCCCATGAGTGGCAAGAATCCAAGTACTTGAGCTATCAACTGCTACCTCCTCAGTGAATTAGTAGGAAGCAGAATCACAAGCACAGAGTAATCAGGACTTGAATCCGCATCCTGATATAGGCCATGGGCATCCCAAGCAGTAGCTTAACACACTGCGCCACAACACCCACACTTTTACCATATTTTTGAAGGACAATTTTATTGGATATAGAGTTCTTTTTTCCCCTTTACTATTATTATTATTTTCCATGATACAGTTTTGTAGGTATATGGTTCCCCCTTCTTCCTCCTCCTTTCCCCTTCCACTATTTTTGCCCATTTTGATATGGTAATATAGTCAGTCCTTTAGTAATAATTACAAGTTTATTCTACCACTTGCAACAAAATAGTCTCCACTGGAGATGATTATGCTAAGTGAAATAAACCAATCCCAAAAGGACAAATATCATATATTTTCTTTTATATAGGACAACTTTCATGTAAAATATAAAAACAAATAGGTGTATAAGTAAACATATGTGTGTGTATATATATATATATATATATATATAGTCTCTTTTATTTTTATTGGAAAGGTAGATTTACTTAAGGAGATACAGACAGAAAGATCTTCCATCCATTTGTTCTCTCCTCAAGTGGCTGCAATGACCAGAGCTGAGCCAATCCAAAGCCAGGAGCCAGGAGCTTCTCCAGGTCTCCCACACAGGTGCAGGGTCCCAAGGCTTTGAGCCATCTTCTACTGCTTTCCCAGGTCACAAGCAGGGAGCTGGATGAGAAGTGGAGCAGCCAGGACACTAACCCATATGCAAGAGTCTCTCCTTGGCACTGGTCTTTTGGTGCAATAATTTACTGCTTGCAAAAGCAGCAACCCATATGGCATACTTCAAATGTCCGAAACTCCACTTCCAATCCAGTTTCCTGCTGAAATTAGGAAAGCACTGCAAGAAGGCCTAAGTGCCTGGGCCCCTGCCATGCATGTGAGAGACTTGGATGGAGTTTCAGGCTCCTGGCTTTGACCTAACACAGCCTTCACTACCGTGGCCATTTGTGAAGTGAACAAAAGGATGGGAGATATCTATATCTATCTATCTATCTACCTACCTACCTATCCAGTTCTATCTTTGTAATTAAGACTTTCAAATAAATAAAACCTTATAAAAAAAGATTCCCAGGGCTGGTGCTGTAGCTTAGCTGGTTAAAGCATAGCCTGCAGGGCCAGAATCTCATATGCAACACAGTTCAAGTCCTGGCTGCTACACTCCCAATCTATCCATCTCCCTGCTAATGGTCCATGAAAGCAGGAAACAGCCCAATTGTCGGGGCCCTGAACCTACATGGGAGTCTCAAAGAAACCTCCTGTCTCCTGGTTTCAGCCTGGCTCAGTCCCAGTTATTAATGTCACTTGGGGAGTGAATCGGTGAATGAAAGACTTCTATCTTTGCTTCTCTGTAGCTTAGGACTTCAAATAAACAAATTAACTTTTTAAAAATTCTCTTTTTGTCATTGGTTTTTGCGACTTTGATTATAATGTTATTTTAGTGTGAGTTTCTTCGTGTTTTTGTACTTGGAATTCATGAAGATTTGTAGATTGATATCTTTCAGCAAATGTGGGAAGTTTGAGGACACAAATTTTACATAATTTATTCTGAGAACTATAGACCAATATCCCTGATATACATATTTTCAAAAATCTCAACAAAATATTAGCTAATCAAATGTAATAACATGTCAAAAAGATCATTCACTTGGACCAAGTGGGATTTATCCCTGGTGAGCAGGGATAGTTCAACAATGCAAATCAATAAAGCATGATACATCACATCAACAAACTGAAAAATAAAAACCACACGATTATCTCAATAGATGCGCAGAAAGCATTTAATAAAATACAACATTCTTTCAGGGTAAAAGCCTGAATAAATTAAATAGAAGAAATATTCTTTTACACAATCAAGACAACATATGACAAACACACAGCCAGCATCATATTGATTGGGGGAAAGTTAGAAGCATTTCCACCAAGATCCAGAACCAGACAAGGATGGCTCTGAAAGTTTTAGTCATAGC